AGGCATATTTACAACAAAAATCAATTTATGACATATTAAAAGACTAATTACTTTCACCCCAAATAATAATTAGTTGTAATTTTACATTTTTAAAATTTGCCACTATGCTAGGTTTTTGCCCATTTGTCAGTAAGAATTTTTACTCATTTAAAACACAATAAAATTTAATATGCTCCCTTATTCTTTTATATATTTTAATATGTACAAGTCAGAATAAGCATGTTGTTTGAATTTCTACATAAATATTGTGTTACACTGAATGACAATGTAACATTATTTCAACCAAATTTTAACATTTTATTCTCCAAAAACTTAAAAGTAGACACTTTACTTACATTCAGTGTGCTTTCTATGGACATAAAATCACTTTTGTCAATTACTTTTGATGCGGACATCTTAACGTCTTTGACCCATGTATGAATGATTCTGAAGACATTATTTTATGCCTTATACTGATATCTGCTTTTTTAAAGCTGATACTTGTATATACTCGGAAACATCTTCATTATATTGTTAAACAACTATACATGATGGAAAGTTTTTATTGATACTTTTGAACGCAGCATTATCACATTAGGCAATATCAGCATGCAGGGCTGTGCAGCTTTTAAAGTGCTTATTTGATTTTTCACCCCACCAGCTTTAACCGTCTGGATCTGCCGCCCTATAAAAGCTTCGAGCAGCTAAAGGAGAAGCTGCTGTTTGCCATCGAGGAAACGGAAGGCTTTGGTCAGGAGTGATGCATGCACACTTTCCATCCGCTTTCACCGTCATATCAAACCGGTGCTGCTACGAGGGAGAAACGCTCTGTATCCATTAGCTTAGGTTTTTTTACCATCCTCTTCTGATTTTACGCTGCCTTAGTCGATGATGGATGCACAGCAATGCAGCGCCCCTCGGCTCACTCGATGCACACTGTGTGACCCTCGTATTAACCTTTTCATGACTGCCGCCCGTCTCTACTGTAGTAATGCACATGCAACAGACTTTTCCTCTAGAACTTGAAGTTCAATTGAGTTTGCATGGTATGTGTCGGAATGAGTCTCATCTGTTGTGCGTACATGTACAGAGGAGTGCAAGACGCAATTTCATATGGTTTGTATTGCCACTGCAGATCTGTACCTTCATGCAAACATGGGTTTACCAATTGAAAAAGGTTGCACTTTATTAATGAAAACACTGGCAGAGTGATAACAGCTAATATGAAACATGCAGCAGGTCATATTTCACCTCAAAATCAAGAGAATTAGAAATATTATTTTGCATGAAGAAAATTAATAGTTTTTACATTATTTTCATGAAAATCAAGCACATTTTCCTTTTAAAATGAACTTGTGATGCAAGAAAATCTCATTCTCTACTGAAAAAAAAATAGCTGCAAAGAATGGGCTTTATGTTCTTCATGCAAAATATAATTTCTTTTGATTTCGGGTGAGCTGTGACCTAGAAATGCTTAATTTCTAGGTCATATATATATGCAATAGCCCAAAAATGCCATCGCCACATAATTAAAATATTAACTTTCTCCTCAATCTTGAACTCACAAACCACTTGACTGACGCTATAATGTTAGCCATTTTAATATGATCAAATCTGCAGCTAGAAATCTTGATCCTTTTATACCTTTAATGTGAAAAAAATCACAATATTTGTGGGGGGAATTAGTGCAAACCTAAAGAAAATGTGCTTTATTTTGTGGAAAATAAGGTCTGTGTGTGTTTTCGAGCATTTGGTTGACATCATTTGTTGTTATGCTGAAGATTTAGCACCGAAATCATGCCTATTCTGTTTATTTCAAAGATTTGGCTTCTTATTCAGATGCAAAACACAAAACCAGGACTGTAAATACTAAGGTACAAACAATAACTTACGGTTATCAAAGTGGAGTAAAGCAAAGAGTTTCTTATGTGATATGAGTCATATGCATTTCTTTCCAACACATGAGTGACTCTTTAACAGGGTTTTTAGTGTTCTCAGTGATTTGTTTTCTTCAGCGGATGAGTACAGATCGTGAGTGATTGGATTAGCGTCAGCTGTTTTTGCACTTTATTTTAGGTCATATTTTCTAATTACCAGATTGTTTGGATTTAAAGTGAACTGACAAATAAAGGTCAGAGATGGAAAGTGTCCAGCTAAATGCCTCACACCTGATGTTACGTGTTCTCATGTCTTACATTTCTTTATTTTCTTAACACTGTAAATCATGCAACACTTAGCCTGTGATCTACAACATATTAACATCAATTAGGCTGGATTTAATTATTTGAATTCTATTTATTTTTCTGAAGTGAATGTGTACAGTTGGATGATTAATATAAAAATACCAATTTATTCTCAGCTGGAGGAATAAACAAAATTCATTTAAAAATGTGTTGCTTCTTTTATTCTCATTTATTCTGTAAGTCTAAGATTACCAGTTTGCCAAAGTATTTTTCTAAATATAAAAGCGATGCATGCTGATGAACAGTAGATTCTGTTAAATTAGATTATTAGTTTATGCAGCAGGTTATTCAGAAAAAAAATACAATTAATAAATATATAAAAATGTCTTGTAATGGAAATAATAAAGTAGTATAATAAACTGATAATAGTAAAGTACCTTTATTATTGTTAAAATAATATGTTGCTTGGAATATTCAGTGTTCTGTTGCGGGCAATTCTCTGTTTTTTATTTTTTTTGTGAAAAAAGACTATATATGTGACCCTGGAGCACAAAACCAGTCATAAGGGTCAATTTTTCGAAATTGAGATTTATGCATCATCTGAAAGCTGAATAAATAAGCTTTCCAAATCTGGAATCTGAGGGTGCAAAAAAATCTAAATATTGAGAAAATCATCTTTAAAATTGTCCAAATGAAGTTCTTAGCAATGCATATTACTAATCAAAAATTAAGTTTTGATATATTTACGGTAGGACATTTACAAAATATCTTCATGGAACATGATCTTTACTTAATATCCTAATGATTTTTGGCATAAAAGAAAAATCTATAATTTTGACTCATACAATGTATTTTTGGTTATTAACCCAGCCCAGCGACTTAACACTGCTTTTGTGCTCCAGGGTCACATATTAGGCTAATATTATTAAATTAGTATAAATAAATTAATAGTAATATTATTATATTAATATTGATTAACATTATAATCTTTACTACATTCACATAAAAAAAAGTAGTTTTACTACTAAAATGTGATTTATTTTTCAGTTATATTATTCCTTTTCTCTGTGATCATATTTTGTAATTCTTTTTTATTTCGCTAAAAGTAGCCTGCTTTTTTTTTTAAACAAAAAAAAACAATTTTTTCGTTAAATTTACACACAGAAGGAGCAGCGGCCGGAAGCGGACAGTTTAGATCGTGTCCCGTGTTTCCGGTCGGACTCCTGTCGCGTCGCACTCTTTTCCGCTTCGCCTCCATTAAAGGACTCGGCGGCGGTTTGCGGGTCAATTTTTAAAACTAGTTTGGCAGAATCCGATATTAATCGGAGCCATCCGAACAGCAACCATGGTAAGACTTCGTTATTTGTCTTATTAGTGTACGATTAAACAACTATCTTAATATTTCTGCTGTTTAGTGAAGATTTTGAATTAAAACGGTGTACGTTACCATTACGTTGTTGATGCGTAGCGCTAGCGATCGGCTAGCGGCCGAAAGCAAATACAATAAGGCATTTAAAACGCATTAGAAATGATAGTTTGTTTCTGAAACACAATGCGGGAACCTTTCTCTAAAATCCAGTCTGGAGAGTGATATAATGGTGAGCGTTTGTTTGCTCTTGTAGCTCAGAGATCGATTTAAACCATTTTATATGATTACATAATTATGCTAGTCTGAATGCAAACGTATACGTTATGTTTTGCAGCACATTTTTAGGAGTTTAAGTCTATTGTTTACGTTTTGTCATCTGCTCCAGTGAGGAAGAATAAGCGGTTTAGCTGCGCAACGCAATCAGGAAGAACTTTTATTTTGCTCTCCGATTATTTCCGTCGTGGTCAATAGTGCTTTAATTGATTTATTTTCTAATAAATAGATGTGCATGCTTTAGGTATTAACCTTAACTATTTCTCTTTTTGAAATAAACATCCAAAACACAATGGACAGTAAGAGTAACTTGTGTACCTTGAACAGGGTAAATTGTAAAATAAAAGTCCTATTCGTTACCAGTATCTGCTGGTCAATGTTAGTGTGATGCATGTGTATCTTTAATGTTGTGTTTAACTCTTGCTTGTCTTCCAGACGGTCGGTAAGAGCAGTAAGATGTTGCAGCACATCGACTTCCGGATGCGCTGTATCCTGCAGGACGGCCGGATCTTCATCGGCACGTTCAAAGCGTTCGACAAACACATGAACCTGATCCTGTGCGACTGTGATGAGTTCAGAAAGATCAAGTGAGTCCATCGTCAACCTTAAAGTCCCCATGAAATCAAAATTAAAAGTTTTTTTGGGTGTTAGTATCAATATGTTAGTCTTAAGGTCATCTATAAGGCAGTGTGCTCCAAAACGGTGACAAAATTCGCATTTAGAAGATATAAGCATTCAAAGCTTGCAGTTTGTCACTTCCGCCAAAACAGCTCAACGATTTTTTTTGACGTCACATCGTACTTCAGCTTCTCATCAAACTTTCTGTCCAATCAAATGCTCTCTAGAATCCGAAGCCCCGCCCCCTACACTATAAAATAGCCGCGGAAGCCGCGGCTGAAATCGGTCTCTTGTCCACAGAGTTAGTATTTTCTGTACAGTGAATGGCACGTAGTGCACTATATAGGGGACAGGGAACGATTCAAACAGTGTAAATATGCTTCCATTGAGGAGAAAAAGAAGTCTGGTTTGGCGCTGTGTCACGCTAACCACCGCACCGCACACACACTCTGCTCCGGTCCAGAGACACGATAGCACGGAGCGGATCACATGCGCGAGTCGGCGCAGACCACAAAATGTATCGGAGCTATTTGAATTCTACACAGAATGCTATATTTTATAGCAATATGGATGAGATTGTGGCTGTCAAATGCGGCTTTACGGAGCTCAACGGCTCTGAACGGCTCTAGCCCAAGCTGTGATATAAACGAACGCTATTGGCTATTTTAAAAAGGGGCGGGGCTGCTTGATATGTCCCGCCCTGTCTTCCTGTTTCAGTTAAAATGACGTCAACACAGAGATAACTACGGCGCTGTTCGTGAAGAAACTTAAACTTTCCGAGGTGGGCATTGTTTTCTAAGAATTCAACGGCCCGTCATCAATTATTCTGTACTCGTGGATCAGGATTTAACTATCTGTGTCCTTCACAGACCCAAGAACTCCAAGCAGCCGGAGCGAGAGGAGAAGAGGGTTCTGGGTCTGGTTCTGCTCCGAGGAGAGAATCTGGTTTCTATGACTGTAGAAGGACCCCCTCCTAAAGACGTGAGTCTGCTCTGAATCTGATGAATGGTTTGTTGTTGTGAATGCAGAGAGTGATGTGCTGTTTCTGTGCGCTCAGACTGGCATCGCCCGCGTGCCGCTGGCAGGAGTTGCTGGGGGTCCGGGGGTCGGCAGGGCTGCGGGGCGAGGCGTTCCCGCCGGAGCTCCGATGGCACAGGCCCCCGCTGGACTCGCCGGCCCCGTGAGGGGAGTCGGGGGCCCGTCACAGCAGGTACACAAT